TCATCAAGCAGGGAACTAAACAGTGCCAGAATTTCCCTGGCAAGTGAAACCAGGTCTAGAATTTTTGACTTCTCCTTCCCATTGCTTCCTAGCAATGGGGCTTAGACTGGCCAATGAATGAATGGCTAGAAGCCTGTTGGTTCTTTAGCAAATATAAAATTCAGTGAACCAAATATTGGCACCCACAGTATTGGGTCAGTGGTTATGGATCCTTATGTTCCCATCATGTACAGCACCAATCTTGACCCCTTTCTTGGTTGCCATCTGAGTGCCTCAATCAGGAAAGACTAGGAGGCACCTTAGTCAAGGCCCACTACTAGGTACAACTTATCTTTACAGATATCTTTTTCCTTCTTCCTCTTCTAAAAGTTAAAAGCATGCTGGGCGTGGTGGCGCATGCCTGTAATCCCAGCACCCGGGAGGCTGAGGTAGGAGGATCACTGTGAGTTCGAGACCAGCCTGGCCTACATAGTGAGGTCCAGGGCAGTCTCAACTACATAGTGAGACCCGGTCTCAAAAAAACCAAATAAATAAATAAATAAATAAATAAATGTATGTTAAAAGCAATACATTTACCCTTAAGTGGCAGGTGGATTATCTCTTGGCTTTAGACAAATTTATGAGGAAGGTAACCTTATAGTCATTTGGCTTTGAAGAAGAAAAATGGAGAAACTGTCAAGATCTGTATCTAACAGTTTAACTAATTTCCTAGCAATCAGCCTTGTTACCTGTGTGTTACTTGGTTTAGTTGCATTAACTCATTTTTATGACTTTAATCATAATTATGATTTCCATTTTACAAATGAAGCAACTGAAGCATGGACAGGTCAACTAATTTTTCCAAAGTTATCCAGCCTATAAATGGCAGAACTCAGATTGAATCCAAATAATGTAGCTACACAGGTTGTATTCTTATCCAAATATACAGCATTCCATGTCATTGTAGTTTTACATATAGTATGATCACAGCATTAAAAATAATTTTTTCTAGATTTATCTTACCCTTAAACTCATAAGTCACAGTAAATGTGGATAGCTATATTTGTTTCCTGTAATTAATGTTTCTAATATTGCTGATCACGATTCTGAAAACACACACACACAAAAACACACAGAGAATTATAGGCTTGCAGGACCTATACAACACTAAATTTCCTGAAATAAACACTAGTTCTATTTACCCTGTACTCCTAATTTTTCTGCCTTCCTCAAAAACAAAGCCATGTTCCATTTATCATATGTATCAGCTTATATGAGCAAGCAAAGTAAAACAAAACAGAAGTGCAAGGCTACTTCTAATGCCAAATATCATGGGCTTCTTGCTCACAGCTAAATGGCACTGTCATCCTATTTTGCCTCAGACATGGATGGGAAACTGAGATTCTTTGTTAATAGGATAACTATTTCTAAGAGTCACTGAGTTCATTAAAGAAAAGAGCTGGATGATGCTTATTCAACAGCTAACATGAAGAAAGACCAACAAAAGAAGGAAAACAGTTTAGATTTGACAGAGACCTTCATTTTTAAAGCACAGAAATAATCAGACAACTACAAAGCTTTAGAAACACTGAGTCTCCTGGAGTAGAAATATAAAGCTGGAAGAGTTAGGCAACAGCACAGAAGAATTAGGACCTGCAGCTCCTAACTCCCAGTCACAAGTTACTCATCCCAGGGAAAGAAAATTAAAATGAGGGTGACCTCACCATTCTGTTTCTTGTTCCCACTTAGAAATTGCTATGGCCTTTTCCTTGTGCCACTCTACTGACTTATTTGAAAACTCTCTACCACCAGAAAAGTAGATAGATCCTTGAAGACACAAAATTATAGAGCCCAAGGGCCAGTAGGTTTCGGGACCAGATCATTGGCTATTCCACGACTCCATCATTTACCAACCTGTGAGCATAGGCATAGAGCTATGTCTTCAGCTTCAGCTTCTTGGGAACAGTATTGAATACGGTAAGACCATGTAACAATTTGGGTAATATTGCAGTATTAAGTGACTGACACAGTAGGTAATAAAAAAGATTTATTATTTCCAGGATGTATTTCTCTAATTTATCTGTTAACAATCTTTTTTTATTCTTCAAATCACTGCATGTGTAAGGATCTAACAAATGTGTGATAATTTAAAAATGATCATGAGCTGTGTCAAACAAACAGAATAGCACAGAACAGAACATACCACAACCAATACCGTGCTAGCCAGGTGTGGTGGCACACGCCTGTAATCCCAGTGTTTAAGAGGCTGAGGCAGGAGGATAGAAATTCGAGTCACACCAAGGCAAACTAGCAAGATCCTGCCTCAAAAACTAAAATGTAAAAGGTGCTGGAGATATAGCTCACTGCAAAGGTTCTGGGTTCAATCTTCAGTGTCCCCCAAATATACACTGCCATTTTACATATTTTTAAACTTTATATAAATAGTATCAGATTATCTGTATCATTTTATAACTCACCTCTCCCAGATTCTCTTTCTGAGATTTACTCATGTTCGTATATATAGCTCTGCACATTACTTTAAGTATTTTAATACTATTTGCTTGTAGGAACCTACCATAATGTATTTCTGCATTCTCCTACTGATGGAAATTTAGGCTGTTTTCAATTTTTCACAATTATGGCAACTACTGCAGCAGACACCCTTCTCACATGTGCTTCTTGGAGTAGCCATGGCAGAGTTTCTCCAGGACACAAATTCAGGGCAGAATTGCAAGTTTCGTAAGATAGATCCATCTTCAACATTACTAGTCATTATCTAATTGTGGTCCCAACACTGCGGCATTCTGCTGTTGTTATTACTGGTATGCCATTTTAGGTTCTCCATCAAGATACAATTTATTTAACATAAAATGTAGTATGTAACTTAATGGCTTGTAATATGTTTGCAGAGTTTGGCAACCATCCCCACAGTCTAATCTTAGAACAGTTTCATGACAGTGTTATTTATAAGTATAAATATGCAAAAATTGATAAAGCTGGCTGTGTCCTCTATGATATATCCATGGAAATCCCCCAGGAGGAGCAAGTTTGTAGAGTTTTCTTTGTTTTAAATCTGAAATTTGAGTAGATAGCTGGAAGGAACAGTCCTAATTAGATTATAAAATTGCTTAAGTGCAACTTCCTGTTATTTACTAATAAAATCTTTCATTCTTATTTACTCACCAAAGAGTAAAATGACTCAGAACTTTTTCTGAAAAGAATGGGAGGAATTCTACATCAGATAAAGGAGAGATTTCCCCAAAACAATTCTTAATCAACCCAGAAGAAAAGGGAGATTTGACAGAAGACAGATGTAGGAGTAAGTAGCTTTGAAGCCAGCACCCTGGCAAAGAAGGGAAGGCAACCATCTAACAATTTTTTCTAAGTTAATTTGTTGAGGTTTTGTCAAATAATTTTCATCCTCTAACTTATTAACGAATGGTGCTTCACTAATATGACTCACCCCAAGTCAAACAATGCGTTGACAGTGAAGATTGCCAAATATAACTTAAAATTCTATATGAACGGTTTTCTTATCTAGCCACTAAATGCTTAAAATTCACTCACTCTTTCCACTTGGATTTCATAAGAAACACCAGGTTCATGGACAACATTGTTGGTGTCCTAGATTGCCTTTTAGTCATCAACATAAGGGCAGGGCCTCAATTTCCAGCTGCTGCAGTTTGATTTCAGCAGGCGCTTGGCAGCCTTCTAAAATTTTCTCCTTGCCCTTCCAGCCTCCCCCAAGTGGGGAAGGTACAGTCACACACTGTGACCTAAGACTGAAAAGGAAGAAAGCCACAGAGCAGCGCTGATTGCCAGGGGGCACACATTGAATCCTGCTTCACAGAGGCGCCGCCATGGCAACAGCTTCTCACAAGCCTCAGGGAAGCCGAACTTCACCACAGACCAGCAAACTTCACCCAGAGTTGGAAATAGCCTGACTCAAAAGTGTGACATTAATTTCTTTATCCACCCACAGGTTTATCTATTATAATTTTTTAACCTACAAATTGCACAGGTAAGGCTTTGGAATAGCACCAACACTCAGCAGCCCATGGAGTTCAGGAATAAGCTGCAGTGGGTGAGAAAGTCCAAGGAAGTTGTTTCTAATAATCAGTGGCATCACTTTGTAGGCAGTAGAAGGACTGTCTGGGTCTGCCGAGGTTCAACTAAAGCCTTGGGATTTGCAAAGGTGAAGGACAGGTAGTGAGATAAAAAAGAGGCCTGAATTGCCTGGGCAAGGATAACCCCAGCAAACAATCTGTTGGATTCAGGGTAGAAAGCCAGTGAGATGGGTAAGGAGGAGCAAAGCAGATCCAAACTTTACTTCCTTTCATTTTGTCCAGCCCAAGGAGAACAGGCCAAACTTTAGCCTCTTCCCGTGATGCAGAATAATCTGGGAGTTGTTGAGCCCTTAAACAGCTTAAATTAGATGGATTACACCCTCTCACCTGAACTCAGATATTACAGAAAATCCATAAGAACCATTGTTCCCTGAAGAGGTTTCAAAGCAGGCACTACCAGACTGCTCAAGATGGAAACTCACCAGCATGTGACATAATTACCCAGAATTTCTGCATTTGTATCTATTTATTTGTAGGCATGTGGACATACGTAAATAATTGTGGCAAAGTCCAAAGCTTTACCGCTTTGCAACTTCAGCTTATCTATCTTGGTAATCCCTTCTCACAACTGTTAATTTCTCTTTCTTTCCTCTTTTTTTCTGGTACCAGGAGTCGAACTCAGCATCTTGCATTTGCCAGGCAGGCATGGCACCACTGAGTTAAATCCCTGGCTCCACCACTGTTAATTTCAACAATTACTCAACACTTAACATTTTTCTTTATTAAAAAAAAAAAATTGAATTCCAAATTGGATGATGCCCTCTGGAGGACAGATTGATGCTTCTTTTCAAAACACTTTTCCAAAATCTTCACTAGAGTTAGAAATAATCAAAGGTACTCAAGGGTAAAGAATAAAAACATTTATTTAAAAATATCATCCAGCATCAATTTCAGTTTGGCAAGCATGAAGAGTGGGTTGTTAATGTTTTTATTATTACATGAAATTTGAGATACAGGAAGCATTACAGCAAAAAAATGAATACTAAAACTGAGACAGAATCTGAGTAGTAAGCTACTAGGACAAAGAAGGATGCTACGGTTAAGAAAATGTTTCCAGGTGATGAAAATAATCTTCTCCTCCAACAGTGTTACAGAACAGGAGGTCTGACTGAGTTGCACACATAACCATAAACATTCTAGTTTGATGTGAATGAAAGAAAAGATATGACCAGATCCCGGCACTAGGACCGACTCAGAAAGGTAGGGATAAGACGAAAGAAAAATTATAAAGAATGTCTTTTCTTGACGGTCTCCATAAAAAGTATATTTTAAAAAACTGAGTAAACATGTGCAGTCTTTACTATGACTGTAAAAATATAATAGACAACATTAAAATTGTTTTTACACAAAAACATTCTTTCATTGTAAGCATATATAAAGCCTTCTGCAGCTATTATATATCACCTTATAAAATTATATCCCTTTGCTTGTTCCCTTTGCTGGTTCCCAGCTTTTCACATCCAGTCCAACTCTTTCACAGATGAAGGAGAGCAAGAAGCTCACACAATATCACATTTATTCCCCTCGGCAGAGATTGGACTAGAATCAGGTCTCCTGCCCCCTGGCGGGTGCTTTTCTCATTACATGACATGACTTCTCTGCCCTGTCCGGGATCCGTGCTTGATGGCACTTCCTCAATCTCAGATGGGCAGAAGGGCTATGAGAGAAAGAAATAGGTATGTCTGGGACCCGTCTGGATTGTTATGAGCCTAGAGCACTAGAAGAGGAGGTGATAAAATACATCTTTTTCTTCTACTGCAGGTCTTCAAAAATAATCCACAACATGCACACACAAGTGCATACGTGCACACAGGACCGTAGAAGAAAGATATTTTTCGAGTAAAGCACTATGTGTGAGAGAAACTTTTTAAAGGCTGTAAGAAAAGTTACTGATTTTAAAGGAGAACATATGGCTAATCACACACAACCTACCCTTCTCAGAAGCTCTGACAAGAAAACCTTGGTCACAGACGATGTCTAACATGGAGAGCTTCAAACTGGGGCACACACAGCCTCCCTAGTTACCTGCTACAGAGTCCCACCAGTCCATGAGTTCAAAACTACAATATGATCAAAGGCTGTTAACGAGCAGGAGCTCCTTCCAAAATGCAAATTCCAGCAGAAAATATATTTGACTAGATTCTTTTAAAAAGCACCACCCTTCTCACATCTACTTCTGATTTCACTTCATCATTGTTCTAAATGTTCTCTTTTAGCAATATATATTTCTGGGTGACAGTTTCTGGAATACTTTTTTTTTGGTATCGTTGAACTCGGGTCCTTACACTTGCCAGGCAGGCCACTGAACCACTGAGCTAAATCCCCGGCCCTGGAATACTTTGTTACAACAGTCACAAGAGCTGCCTCAAGAGAGAGGGTGGTAAGACCTTTTGGGGCCATTTCTTCTTTGTTTCTTTGAGAAAAAAAAACTAATCACATTTTTAAAGGTCTGTCATACTCATTCTTGTTCAAAATTCAGTACAAGGAACATGAAGTGAGAACATCCTTTGCCACAGCCATGAACTAGGAAACCATGAGAGGAAAGTTGAACCTCCAACAATCTCGAGTTTACTGAAACACTGCACGTTATCACAGTTCTATAGATTGTCCAGCAGAAATGTATCTTTCCTGTGCTCCATCAGTTTCTGTAAGAGTGAGCTCATTTTCATTCAGACATTTCTTAGAAACTGCTTTCTACCAGATTAATGATTTATATGGCTTACAAAACAGAAGCCAGAGCCATGTGTTGTACACTTCATCTCAGGCAATAAATTGCCTTTGGACCATATTCCTTGTTTCTTTCCATATAGTTTGTTGTGTCTTATACACGGAGTCCTGAAAAATTCTTTCTACCTGTGTAGAAAAGCCATGACTTTCCTCTTCCAAGGCATTGATGGTTTGTAGAGCGAAGGGAGTCCTTTCTCTGGGAAGGGGTTTGTTCAGGGGCCGCATGGGTATAACAGAGTTGTACTTGTGTTGCCTGTTCACAGAATTCATGAGGGATGTGTAGAACTGGAAATTACACCAAGTATCTCTCAAGAAGTTTTCGGTAAGTAATAAGATTGTCCATGCAGACCCATTCACGGCGTCATCTAAATTTTGCAAATGCTGCCTGCCGCCTGGCATTTCAGCAAAGATTATCCCGGGCTTGACACCGAAGTCATCCTGTAACAGCTCCTGGACTCTCAGGGCTTCCTCTGTATCATCTTCTGCATGCAGTATCACAAATTTGAGGAACACTTCTTCTTCCACTTCCCCTTCAGGAATCTCTTTTTCCACCTCTGCTCCCTCTTGCTCTCCTGTCTGTTCCTCTGTTGTAAGGCTTTGCTCCAAAACATCACACAAGGAGACCACTTCAGGTTTCATGGACTCAGACTCGAGATGGCCTTGACTTGTATCCACACTGTGACTTTTACCCCAAGAGAAGCAAAGAGGGAAGGTGTGTGTTTTAGACTTCCCAATACCCATGATATGTATCCAAGACTGAAAGCTTTATTTCTAAGCATTTCTTTTCAATCTAAAAAAAAAGGAATATTGTAAATTTAATTGAAACATTAAAAATGAAAAGTTTTTTCAAATTTGAAAAGCTCACAAAGACTGTAACACACAGATACTAAGAAAGAAATGACAAAAAGGCATTTGGGAAGCCAAACTACTGGTCTTCTGAGGGCTTTGCAATGGCTAGCACAGGCAGCCTTGGTGAGTTAGACAGAAGATCCAGTGTAAGATGGTAAGAGACATGTAGAAATTCAGAGTGGTATTAAATTATACCACCAACTTCCAGGTTAAAATAAAATACTTCAATATTTTAGTGAAAAGCAAACACACCATTCTATCCATATGGTGTTTAAATCTAAGATTCCTCATCAAATTACCACATAAACTAGAAACAGGAAAATCTAAAGATATAGAATATTCAAGTAGAAGGATGAATTTATTTTCATATCAAACACAAACGTAAAATAGGATGCCATATCTTAAAGATGACTGACAGCAGCTTTACTGACTCAGTATGAACAGAAGATCTGCATGTAAAATGAAATGATGCCCAGGATTCACTGGCTCTGAGTTGTTTTTTCTGTCTGGGGTCAGGCATTATTGTGGTGGTAGAATTGGTGAAGAAGAAATTATAATTTGGATGTGTAAAAAGTAAGGAATATCGTTTGCCAGATAACCCTACAAATACTGAAGAAAATATATTTATTTACCTGTGAGAAAATTTTGCATCTTGGCTTGGAAGCAAAAAAAATCTAGAAACTAAGACTTTCAATTTTTTCCAATGAAGTCAACAAATGATGTAGTCTAGATTATTTTATCAAAAAGTTTTAAGTTTAGAGTGAAAGAACTAGGTCAGCTGTGAAAGATAATATGCCATGTGAATCTAATTTAAATAGCTTTTCAGAAAATGTCGATAATGTCATTAATAAGGTCCCAAATAGGCTATTGGGGGGGGGTCACCTATGAGAACACAGAAAATTTAGAATAGATAAATATGGGCTTCATATTTTCAAATATGAGCCAAGGCTACATACCAGAGCATTTTTACTTACTATCAGCAAAGACCAGAGTTCAAAAAGCATTTACATGTATATTCAGAATGACATTAAGTAATACAGACACATATTCCTGAAGAAGACACATTTATAAGACATTGCTCAACAGAAGTGGTGAGAAATGTTATGTTAGGAGAAAAGTAAGGAAATAGGGTAGGTTGCTGCTGCCTTTTGACTAGTGAAGGAACTTCTGGGCACTACCTGTCACTCACTATGTCTGTACTTTAGGTTGTTGATCCACGTTATACTATCCTAGTTAATAAGAGGTATTCCAAGACATATTAACTCCAAAAATGTGAGGTATATAATCCCAAATAATTAATTAGAACCCTCTTTGTTGGTAGAATTCACCACTGACTTTTGTTACCGCATTATAAGAAAGGTTCTGCCAATGAAGCTGCAAATGATGCTTCCCCTGCACAAGAAGACAACTGCCGAACTGCTTAGGTGCTTCTATGTATTTCAATGAAAAGGTTCTTCATCTATTCTTGAAACAGGTTTGTCATAGTAGTTCATCATCATCTTTTTTTGTTTTTTTGTTTTGTTTTGTTTTGTTTTTTTTGATACTGGGGATTGAACTCGGGTCCTTGTGCTTGCAAGGCAGGCCACCGAACCGCTGAGATAAATCCCTGGCCCTTCATCATCATCTTAATCACCAGTGGGTGCAGACAAATGTACTTGATGGTCATGGAATGTATGAAACACTTCTAAAATGGTGTTTCAAGCCAGATCACACATTATTTTGAAATAAATAAAAATTAAAAATTACTGTCTTATTATTATTTTAAATACTATACTAGTAATAAAAAGGGAAGGTTTCAGAAATCTATGATATGCTGTGCCAATTTCCAAGCCACCTCATCCAAGCAGAGAGAACAAAGTTAGCAATAATGTCTGAAAAACATCACTGTAACCTTCTAATTCAAACAGGAAGAGTAAGAAGAGAGCCAAGAGGAAAAGACGTGGAAACCTGTGTGCAGAAAACCTACCTTTGCTACTGTGACTGTGGCTGAAACCTGGTGAGATGCTCAGGATCCAACATTTTTCTCAGGGTTGGAAGAAGGAAGAGGACCCCATTGGGCTTGCTCTGAGCCAGCAACTGTGTCAGTCAGTAAGGCTTCACTGGATCAGGGAGGAAGGCTTGAAGAGCTGAAGGAAACAGAGAGGTTGGCAAAAAGCCTGGAAAGCCTCCTTGAGCTGCTCTCCCTCCTAGGACAGTTAGAGGCAGGTTTGAACACTGAGGAGCTAAATGGGAGGGGGGTGTGACACTAGGGAGAGGCACCAAGATCGGTTTGCAAGGGTAAAAGAGTGTGTGTATATATTTTATTTTTTAAAAAGTGGTTCTAGGGCCAGGGATTTAGCTCAGCGGTATGGTGGCCTGCATTGCAAGCGCAAGGACCCGAGGTCCCCCCACCAAAAAAAAGTGGTTGAATGGCCAGGGATTTAGCTCAGTGGTGCTGCTGCCTCGCAAGTGTAAGGTCCCAAGTTTGATTCCCGGTATCACCACAAAAGAAGTGGTTGAAATGTCATAATGACATTGAAAAGATTTTGAAAAGTCTCAGGTCTTACCCTCTCCCCATCCATCCTGGTCCTACCTCCCTGGCCTCCTCCTCGTGACTATTTTTTTTTGTTTATGCCCATTCATTGTTTCTTATGACATATACATACATACATATAAATATATATATATATATATATATACACACACACATATATATATATACACAGATATGTATTTTTCTTTCACTTTTTATAAAAAGTATCATCATTAGTATATATTCCAAACACAGTAGATTATATCCTCAGACTTTTCATATCAGAGGACTTCTTCATTCTTTTTTTTTTCAACTACATAATCTCCCAGTATGTGGCTATACTATAACTTGTTCCCTGTTGTTGGGTATGTAGTTTGTTTTCATACTACTACTATTATGAATGAGTCTACAGTGAAAAAGTCATTTCATATATATGCAAGTTTATCTGTAGAATAATTCTATCTGTAGAATATTATCTATCTTCCCCAAGTGAGATTTTATATTAAATACATTTTAATAGTAATGAATTGGGCTTGCCTTCTGTAGGCCTGTACCATCATTTTTGCGTTTAGTGTGATATAATGACACCCACCTTTACTCCTGTCCCAGGAAAGATCTAAGACCAAAGCTCCACTGAGCTAACCACATCTCTTCAAGCAAAAGAAATGTGGAAAACATGACCTGTCAAAATGGAACTCTTGCCAGGCATGGTGGCACACGCCTGTAACCCTAGCACTCAGGATGCTAAGGCACGAGAATCACTGTGAGTTCGAGACCAGCCTGGACTACACAGTGAGTTCCAGGTCAGTCACAACTACATAGCGAGACGCTGTCTCAAAAAACAAACAAACAAAAAAAGGAACTTTAAGACTGAAGTTCTGGAAGGAAGATCAATAGCTCTGAAGTAAAACAAAGTAGAGTCTAGAAAGTGTCTATTTTAGATCTCGGCAAAAGGTGGCCCCTACTTAATAGAAGCAGGGTGAGGTGGGGTGGGGGTGACTAATTAATCCAGTTGGCGATGTATGGAGGTGTACCGACATGCGCAAATTCAATCTGAGGCAGCTCTTTTACGATTCTGGCAGAGTAGATGTGACTGAAGAGCAGGCAGCTTCCCCACCTGGCATGAGGCTCCCTGAGGGTTGCAAAAGCCCACATCCAGTAGACCAATCTGCCACGTGGCTTGGAGAGGTGGTCTAGGAGCCTAACCTAAGCACCCTTCTTCAACGTTCCTAATGATACTGTATATCTCATAACACTCTACGATATGTATCTTTCAGCTTAAAATAACTAGAGTAGATTCTGTTTTTCCAGGACTAAACTGTGAGGGACACAACATTCAAATACAGGGCAAGGGACAGTTTCTGTAAGTAAAATTTTCTTGGAAGACAGTTGTGCTCACTAATTTATGAATTGTAGCTAAGTTCATGCTATGGAGGCAGATGGAGTAGTTACAACAGAAACTGTACAGCCCACGACATCTACAGTATTTGCTGTTTAGTTCTTTACAGAAAACTTGGCCAAACCCAGAATGGGAGTGCTAAGCCCTGCCAGGATGCAGGGCAGATCTATGCCAGCCTGATGCGGAACGCTGGACTAGTCTTAGACTTTCACATTGGAAATATTTTAAAATCCCAAGAAGAGTATAAATGAAATACCTTCAGGAAGAGGATTAGGGGAATTGGAACCCATCTCAACCTTAGATTGAAATAATCAATAATTGCTATTTATTCATTTTCTTTTTGGGGGTGGTGGCAAAGAATCCATGAGGATGACAAAGATCCAGCCTAAATGAAAAGATTAATTATCAAGTATTACCTATTGATACTTATAGTTAAAGCAAACCAATGCTTGTACTTTTCATTCTTTGATATCAGAACTAGCAGAAAGTTTAGTCATGGAAGCTTTTGAAGCTTATTGTGTTTTTTCATTCACAGTGCCAATCACAACTATATTAAAATTCCATGTATTATTATCTAATTAGCTTCTTGTATTTCACAATAAACGCTATTTTAAAAAGGACCAAACCTGTCTTGGTTACCACTGTAGCCCAAGAACATAGCAGCCTTCAATAAAAAAAAAAAAAACTTTTGAATAGATGAATTAGATGCTTCCAAATACAAGACTAACATAATTAGGTTTTTGTTGCTGTTGTTGTTGTTGTTTTGTAGCAGGGATCGAACTCGGGTCCTTGTGCTTGCAAGGCAGGCGGTGGAACCACTGAGCTAAATCTCTGGCCCGAAATTAACTAGCCAGTCCAAATGTATTTTGCTGGATTTCTATAAGTAATTCTGCTATATTTTTAAAAACATCTTGTGACTAGAATATGGTATATTCCTTATTGATTATTTACAAAATAACATTACATATAGAGAAAAGTACCATCCTCCAACTGTCAAAAAATGAAACAAGAAACCTTTCCACTGCACTTCCCAAACCTGGATTCAGACTTGGGCACAGGCTGACTTGTGGATGAAAGCAATATTACTATACAACTTCTATACTGCTTTGGTTGTGTTTTTTTAAAAAAACAGGAAATTGCTTAGGGGAATTATTGTATCAAAAATTCAAGTTCAGGCTGGCCTTGAAGTCACTGTAGAATCCAGGTTGGCTCTGAACTCATGGCAATCCTCCTAACTCGGCCCCCCAAGGGCTGGGATTACAAACTAGTGCCTCCACACCTGGCTTAGAAATTCAAATTCATTTTATAACTCATTCCATATCAGTTCATGTACAGATTTCTAAGCTGTTTACAATCATCTTTCTTTAATTTTTATCAGGTTCTTCTAAATTTATTCTTCTGCTTTTACTTGTGTTGTGCTTGTGCTTTTTTTTTTTTTTTTTTTTTTTTTTAAACATCCTATCCCTTAGATCCATTGTTTTCTCTTTCAAAGACAGGTCCAGGATCCTTTTAACCCTATCATGCTCTTTTTCTTGCTCTCTCTTCCTAATTGGTTTTCTTGACTAAATGTCTTTCATGGCATGTTCCTCAACTGTCAAAATGTGTCCATTTGTAATTTACACTTCTAGTAATGATGACTAGGTAGACCAATACTGCTACTGAGGGCAAGTAGAAAGTTGGACAAAATATGTACAATACAGGCTTGAGGTTTCAGAGAACCATCAACATAGAGAAGAACTATTGAGTCCAAATAACAAAGCAAGAAACTCAGAGACTAATATCCCTCCAGGGTACTTTGAATTTCAGAAACAAACAGTTGTGTTATGCTTTTAAAATTGCTGCTCATGTTTAATTTGCCAAAAGTGAGCCTATGCCAACCAGAGTGACAGGTGGCCATGATTGGGACCCTGAAGGCTACACACTTGATAACAGGTTGACCTAGAAATAGATGGATACTTCCCGAAATTGAGGCCTTTCTAAATTATTTTTCCTCAGTACTGGCAACTAAACTCAGGGCCTTCTCATTGAGCTACATAAAATTTGTCAAATTTTGTTTTGAGACAGGTTCTTGCTAAGTCACTAAATTGCCCAGCCTGGGCTCAACTTTACAGTTCTCCAGCCTCAACTTCCAAGAGTGCTGGGATTACAGGAATGCACCACCCACCTGGCTAGAAGCATAGTTTTAAATATTCTCAACCTTTGAAATCAGATTAATGTGACCACAGATTGCTATTGTTGCCAATAACAGGGCAGGAGCAAAGGTGAATCCAACCTGGAAGAACATAGAAACAAACCTATGTAGACTCAAGACATTTATTAATAACCATGGTTGCTATTTTCAAGGGGATAAAAGATAGGACTGAAAATTTTGTCAGATAACTGGAAACCTATACAAAGGGCATGGTAGGTGAAAAAAATTCAGAATTGAAAAATACAATAATCAAAATTAAGAACTTTCTGGATGGATAGCATAAAAAATGAAATACATAAGAATCAACCAAATAAAAGAAATTAAAGACTTCTACTCTGAAAACTATAGCACTCTGAAAAAAGAGATTGAAGAAGATATCAGAAAATGGAAACACATCCCTTGCTTCTGGGTAAGAACCACCAATATAGTGAAAATGGCCATACTTCCAAAACTCCTATATAATTCAATGCAATCCCAATTGAAATTCCAGCAGCATACTCCGCAGACCTTGAGAAAAGAATCCAAAAATTCATTTGGAACAAGAAGAGACCTAGAATAGCAAAAGCAATTCTAGGCAACAAAGAAAAGGTATGGGGTATCACAATCCCCAACATGAAACTATACTACAAAGCTACTGTGATAAAAACAGCATGGTACTGGCAAAGAAACAGACCTGAGACCAGTGGAACAGATTAGAAGACACAGAAACAACTCCAGACACACTCATCTACTTCATCTTCAACAAAGGAGCCAAATACCCTCACTGGAGGAAAGATAGTCTCTTTAATAAATGGTGCTGGAAAAGTTGGGTTTCAACCTACAAAAGATTAAAACTAGACCTATATCTTTCACCATGCACTAAACTAAAATTAAAATGGATTAAAGATCTAAATATTGAAACAAACGCTAAACTGGATGGAAGAGAGATTAGGTAGAACTCTTAAAGACATCAGTATAGGAAAAAAACAAAACCCCAGTTGCACGTGAACTACCACAAGAATCAATAAGTTGGATTTCAACTTAT